TTTTGTCCTGACCACTTGAATCCTTTCCCATCCACCTGTTTACCCATTCTTCTTCCTAAATAATTTGTAATTGTTATATGTAGAATAAAAGCAGGATCAAGGGAAAAAATGAGATTGTAAAGGCCATAGATAAACATCAGGAATTTTAAAAAATTGAAATGTATAATGTGTAATGTATGTATATCTGCTTTTCATTTAGGAAAAAACTGTAAATATCTTGCATATATACACATATATCTAATTCTGTATAATCCATATTTTAGGTTCTCATTTAAGTTGTTTCTTTCTTCAAGATTAAGACATATCCCTTGTGTGTTATTTATAGAGCCAAGTGACTTAAGGTGATAGAAATTTCTTAATATTTCCAGTGATAGAAGTTCTGTAATATATTACTTCATAAATAAGGAGACATATATAAATTAGGAGAAAGGGAAAGCTGGGTTTTGTTCATGTCCTTTNTAAATAAGGAGACATATATAAATTAGGAGAAAGGGAAAGCTGGGTTTTGTTCATGTCCTTTCTATTTTAGTATCATGATTGACTGTATCCTTTGCCAGGTCCCCTATCTGTTCTGGCAATAAATTTTCTTGTGGTGTAGAACTGCCCTGTCTCCTTTTTGTGAGATAGGCTGCAGTGAATTTTAAATGTATAATTAAGCTTTAGCACTGGAAAGATTTTAGAACTATTACATCCATGAGTCTACTGGGTTATTAAATTAAAAGCAAGTATTTGTGAGCATTTCAAATTTTAATCCTTATTAGAACTATTTTTTTAAATTTTAAGTTACTTCTAGACATTGAAGATGAAATCTTAAAATGATTTTCTTTTTTTTTTTTTTTTTTGTGGTGAACTGATACACTACCATTTTTTTTTTAATTTTTAAAAAATTTTAAAATTTTTTAAATATAATTTTATTTTGTAAATATACAATGTGGTTGATTATTGTGGCCCATTACCAAAACCTCCCTCCCTCCTCCTTCTCCCCTATCCCTCCCAACAAACTCCTTTCTGTTTGCTTGTCATATCAACTTTAAGGAATTATAATTGTTGTGTCTTCTTCCCTCCCCTCCCCCGCCGGTTATTTGTGTATTTATTTTTTTATTTTTAGCTCCCACAGATAAGTGAGAACATGTGATATTTCTCTTTCTGTGCTTGACTCGTTTCACTTAATATAATTTTATCTAGGTCCATCCATGTTGTTGCAAATGGCAGTATTTTGTTCTTTTTTATAGCAGAGTAGTATTCCATTGTGTAGATATA